GAAGTTCTGCGCCCCATCAGCATTGACGTCAAGGCGATTCCACGCCCCACCACCCTCGTTCCTCGTCCTAAGAACCTACTCGAGGATTCACCCGACTACTGGTGGAAATGGGATCGTCAGGTTGGGCCGGCGGGGAGCCCTATGGAGGCCTGGTGGTACAAACTTGGTGATCCCTGGGTGAGTGGTACGTTCCAGCACCTTACAGTCTTGCTGAACCTCGAGAACATAGGAGAAGGTGTACACCGTCTCCGAGTCTACACTGGTGCAGCTTGAACAGCTGCATGTTCGCGTCGCGAACCTCACTAGTTGGTTGCACGAGAGGACAGATCAGAACCTGGATGTGGTGCTGGAAGAGCTGCAGGAGGCAACGCGGCAGCTGCGTGAGTTAGGAATGTAATCGCCCAATGCCAGGCGTCCGTTCGTGCTGTAGTGTGTCGAATATAAGGTTGTCATGTCTTTGAACCTGGGCAATGTACCTGGTGTGGTAAGGCGAAACATAGTAGCCACATACTCTCCTCAGGAGGGCACATCCCCAATGGTATCTGATGCATGGCTCGAAAGCCAATGCCACATGGGAGAGTTTGGCGAAGTCATTCTGGACTGCATGTTCAGATGGCGAGTGATATCCACCACAGTTCGCCAACCCTACTCACGGTGGAAAGGACCGCCATTCGTCTCCACATACTCTACCCAGAAGGGCACATCCCAAATTGTATCTGATGCATGTCTCGAAACGCCGATGCCAATTGGGAGAGTTTGGCGAAGTCATTCTGAACTCCATGTTCAGATGGCGAAGGATATTCGCCACAGTTCGCCAACCCTTCCCACAGTGGGAGAGAGTGTGATACTGCAAGGAGAGCTGATAGTGAGCTAACCAGAATTGGAGGGAATGATCGGTGGATTACGTGGAAATTATTGGCCGGCGGTAGCTCCATCATTGCCCTGTTAGGCGGTGGATCAATCACTGAAAAATATGCCCATGGCGGTTGACTGATCGCTGAGAACTACACCTATGGCGGTGGGCCGATAGGTCTGAGCAAGAGGTGCCGCATGAGCAATGACTCGGCATCGGAGCCCCCTTCTTCTGTGGTGTCCTTCGGCTCGTATGCTGATTTGCACACGTCCGCATCCTCGTCTACTTCGTGCTCTTCGGTTGACTTCGGGTACAATCCGTTCACTTCGTATGGTCTACTTCTTGGCTCGGGCAACCAGGTGTGGCATCCGCCCATGCTTCCCCCTGACCAATCTCCACATTTCATACATCCGCCCATGCTTCCCCCCGACCAATCTCCATGTTTCATACATCCACCTATGCTACTCCCTGACGAATCATCCAGTATGTTCCTTCACCCACCCATGCTTCACCAAGACGACACGGACACGATACGAGCCCAGTTGACAACCTAGGGCAAGGCAAATAACTCAGCTATGCCCGGGCTAGTCAGATATTTCAGGCGACCCATGCTTATGGGCTCAGAAATATACCTATGGCGGTGGGCCGATGGCTGTATAATAGCACCGTGGCGATGGGCCGATCGCTCAGAACACTACCTATGGCAGTCGGCCGATGGCTCAGAACAGCTCCAATGGCGGTGGGCCGATGGCTGTACAATAGCCCCGTGGCGGTGGGCTGATCGCTCAGAAATATCCCTATGGCGGTGGGCCGATCGCTTAGAACACTACCTATGGCGGTGGGCCGATCGCTCAGAACACTACCTATGGCGGTGGGCCAATGGCTGTGTAATAGCCCCGTGGCGGTGGGCCGATTGCTCAGAACACTATCTATGGCGGTGGGCCGATGGCTGTATAATAGCCCCGTGGCAGTGGGCCGATCGCTCAAAAATACACCTATGGCGGTGGGCCCATCGCTCAGAACTATCACCGCGGCGGTGGGCCCATGCCTGTATAATAGTAGCATCATGGTGGTGGGCCGATCGCTCAGAAATACTCCTATGGCGGTGGGCCCATCGCTCCAGCATTCCCTTCATCGCCATGAGCCAATCGCTGACAGCTCCTTACACAGACCGATGGGCCGACGTCCGCTGGCTGTCCAGTTCATGACAATGTCAGGGTAAATGGGAGTCCAGTTCACAAACATGACTGAATGGGCTGACTTACTGGTTACAATTACTATACCTCCTTTCCTGCACACACTCCTGAGGACTATCCTGCACTTTTTCAAGCACCAGACATAATCACACACATCCCTTTATCCCTTTCCACATTATGTCTTCCACCTCTACCCACACTCCCAACTTTGCCAAGCTCAATGACTCCAATTACCCTACTTGGAGCAGTGAAATGGCTGCCTGATTGCGCTCTGCAAACCTTTGGAGACTTGTCAATGGCAAGCTTCCACAGCCAAAGCTCTCTGGATCACCTACAGCAGCTGAGCAAACTAAGCTAGACACTTGGGAGGCCAATGCAGAGAAAGCAGCTGGTCAAATCTATTTGATGGTGGAACCAGATCAGCGCACTCACTTTGCTGGTGTGGTGGATGACCCTATCAAAATGTGGGAACAGCTTGCAGCTGTTCATCTGCAGAAGAAACCTGGAGCGCGTTTTAATGCTTATGATGATGTCTTCTTCATCAGAAAGCAACCAGAGGAATCACTTCAAGGGCTTGTCAACAAGGTCAATGCTGCCATGCAGCGTGTTAAAGACCTTCGCCCTAATGACTTTGATCTGACAAAGCTGGATGAAGAGTTAACCTCCATGGCTATGATTCATGCTCTTCCTGTGGAGGAATATGGCGCTTTTACCTCTGCGCTGCTTCAGTGTGATATCCTGAGCAAAGATGTTGTCATCCAGGCTTTTGTCACAGAGGAAATCAATCATCATCATCGCACCACTTCCTCTCCCAAAGCAGATCAAGCACTCACCACTGCTTCCTCCTCACAGCTCACCTGCGAGTTTTGTGAAGGCAAAGGACACACACAGTCCAATTGCTATGCTTTCCAGAATGCTTCAAAGAAAGCCAAGGAAAATCGCAAAGAGCGCCACTCTAAGTGTGGAAACAAGGCAAATGCTACTGCTGCTGCTGCTGCCACCCAGAATACCACTCAGGTTGACCCTACCACTGTCACAGAGTCTGCTGGCAAAGCAAGTCTCTCTGACCCACTTCAGCTTGATGCTGACTTTGACTGGAATGTAGACACAGGCACCACTTCTCATATGACACCTCATCACCACTGGCTTAGAAATTACAAGCCTTTGGTCATTCCAATCAAACTCGCTGATAACACTATTGTCATGTCTGCTGGGGTGGGAACAGTTGTATTTAATCCAGTGATTGCAGGGAAAGCAGTCAGACCTGTGGAATTCACTAGGGCGCTGCATGTCCCAAGGCTCAGGAACAATCTCCTCTCTTGTCTGTATTTAGTTCATCAGAAAGGCTTCAGAATTCACATAGAGTCCAAGTTCATACAGCCCATTCAGTCATGTTTGTGAACTGGACTCCCATTTACCCTGACATTGTCATGAACTGGACAGCCAGCGGACGTCGGCCCATCGGTCTGTGTAAGGAGCTGTCAGCGATTGGCTCATGGCGATGAAGGGAATGCTGGAGCGATGGGCCCACCGCCATAGGAGTATTTCTGAGCGATCGGCCCACCACCATGATGCTACTATTATACAGGCATGGGCCCACCGCCGCGGTGATAGTTCTGAGCGATGGGCCCACCGCCATAGGTGTATTTTTGAGCGATCGGCCCACTGCCACGGGGCTATTATACAGCCATCGGCCCACCGCCATAGATAGTGTTCTGAGCAATCGGCCCACCGCCACGGGGCTATTACACAGCCATTGGCCCACCGCCATAGGTAGTGTTCTGAGCGATCGGCCCACCGCCATAGGTAGTGTTCTAAGCGATCGGCCCACCGCCATAGGGATATTTCTGAGCGATCAGCCCACCGCCACGGGGCTATTGTACAGCCATCGGCCCACCGCCATTGGAGCTGTTCTGAGCCATCGGCCGACTGCCATAGGTAGTGTTCTGAGCGATCGGCCCATCGCCACGGTGCTATTATACAGCCATCGGCCCACCGCCATAGGTATATTTCTGAGCCCATAAGCATGGGTCGCCTGAAATATCTGACTAGCCCGGGCATAGCTGAGTTATTTGCCTTGCCCTAGGTTGTCAACTGGGCTCGTATCGTGTCCGTGTCGTCTTGGTGAAGCATGGGTGGGTGAAGGAACATACTGGATGATTCGTCAGGGAGTAGCATAGGTGGATGTATGAAACATGGAGATTGGTCGGGGGGAAGCATGGGCGGATGTATGAAATGTGGAGATTGGTCAGGGGGAAGCATGGGCGGATGCCACACCTGGTTGCCCGAGCCAAGAAGTAGACCATACGAAGTGAACGGATTGTACCCGAAGTCAACCGAAGAGCACGAAGTAGACGAGGATGCGGACGTGTGCAAATCAGCATACGAGCCGAAGGACACCACAGAAGAAGGGGGCTCCGATGCCGAGTCGTTGCTCATGCGGCACCTCTTGCTCAGACCTATCGGCCCACCGCCATAGGTGTAGTTCTCAGCGATCAGTCAACCGCCATGGGCATATTTTTCAGTGATTGATCCACCGCCTAACAGGGCAATGATGGAGCTACCGCCGGCCAATAATTTCCACGTAATCCACCGATCATTCCCTCCAATTCTGGTTAGCTCACTATCAGCTCTCCTTGCAGTATCACACTCTCTCCCACTGTGGGAAGGGTTGGCGAACTGTGGCGAATATCCTTCGCCATCTGAACATGGAGTTCAGAATGACTTCGCCAAACTCTCCCAATTGGCATCGGCGTTTCGAGACATGCATCAGATACAATTTGGGATGTGCCCTTCTGGGTAGAGTATGTGGAGACGAATGGCGGTCCTTTCCACCGTGAGTAGGGTTGGCGAACTGTGGTGGATATCACTCGCCATCTGAACATGCAGTCCAGAATGACTTCGCCAAACTCTCCCATGTGGCATTGGCTTTCGAGCCATGCATCAGATACCATTGGGGATGTGCCCTCCTGAGGAGAGTATGTGGCTACTATGTTTCGCCTTACCACACCAGGTACATTGCCCAGGTTCAAAGACATGACAACCTTATATTCGACACACTACAGCACGAACGGACGCCTGGCATTGGGCGATTACATTCCTAACTCACGCAGCTGCCGCGTTGCCTCCTGCAGCTCTTCCAGCACCACATCCAGGTTCTGATCTGTCCTCTCGTGCAACCAACTAGTGAGGTTCGCGACGCGAACATGCAGCTGTTCAAGCTGCACCAGTGTAGACTCGGAGACGGTGTACACCTTCTCCTATGTTCTCGAGGTTCAGCAAGACTGTAAGGTGCTGGAACGTACCACTCACCCAGGGATCACCAAGTTTGTACCACCAGGCCTCCATAGGGCTCCCCGCCGGCCCAACCTGACGATCCCATTTCCACCAGTAGTCGGGTGAATCCTCGAGTAGGTTCTTAGGACGAGGAACGAGGGTGGTGGGGCGTGGAATCGCCTTGACGTCAATGCTGATGGGGCGCAGAACTTCGCGATTGAAAGTGCAGACGGTGAGGACACTGGCGATAACTCCGCCATGGTCAATATGGTCAGCATGACCCGCCAACGCGAGGTCGCCACAGATACCCCTGACGGCGAACTGCACAGGACTCAGCAGGGTCAGGCGATATCAGCAAGAAAGGCGTACCATCTCCCGGCGCAAGCCTTCCTCCCAACGGACCTTGGTGAAGTGATCTGGGTCAGGCTCCAGTGCCAGAACAGCTTCTTGGATCCTCCAAGTGTAGACTTCCAACTGCAACCTCCCTCTGGAGAACAGGCAGGGGCGCGCATCTGATGTTGAAGACTGGGCAGACATGATGGTGAGTGGATGAGCTGAGGTCGATATCTGATCGACCTTATCTGATGTCTGATGTCATGCGATTGGAGAGCACATGCCGAGATGAAGCCCTCAGGCGAGGATGGAGGTCACTTCGCCAAATGTGATATTGGTGAGTAGGAATTACATACATGACGATCACTACATCGATATAGCAAACATGAATATGCGTACACCCCAGTGAACCCTGACTCAAAGCACATTTTCATCGCCCGCCCTTTCGTCCTCAATGTCCAGGGCGAGGATGTGGCTGAAGGCGTCAGTGGCGTGGCTGGCGAAGGTCCGCCACATACTCACTTGCCTGGCGGCATAGCAAACATGACCCCGCCAGGAAGGATCCATCATCTCGAGCCAGTGAGCCCATCGTTCCACATTCCGCTTGAAGGTGGCTATGGTCCAGGCCATTTCGGAGTGGACCAAGACACGCTCCTCCCTCCATCTCTCATATCGAGCTCTGGCACGCAGCCAATTCACTCTATAGACTGGAGGGTAAATTAGCAGGAGGCCTAGAGATTGATCGGACAATTACGAACACTCGTCCATCCATTCTAATGAACCTCGATCTCCAGCGACATCCATGGTCCAGAACCAAGCCAGGTTGACGTTCCTGAGCCCAGAGGTGCTAGCCTCGATGACGGCAGTCTTCACGTGCAGATCCTTCTTATCCAAAGGGCGATAGAGGGCCAAGTCTTCATCGGTGGCGTCCAAGCACATAATGGCGCGTCGGTTGGCGGAATAGAGCCTGGCGCAGGCCAAGACGGTCTGATCGGCAGCATGAACCTCCGCCTGTGCACGGGTCATGGTTCCGACGCTGTTGGCAGGACAAACCCTCTTGCGGTAGAGGTAAGACTTCAGTCCAAGCGCCATGCGAAGCTCGTGGAGGATGTCATTCATCAGGCCTTTGCGCAACTCCAACTCTTGGGCCGCCAGGGTCTGGAGCCCGTTGGCGATGGCGGCCACGAATCTGATCTGCGAAGGTAAATTCAAGGAAGCTTGCTCGGGTGGAATCGCATCCTCACCATACTCAGCGTCCTCCGGGTGTATTTGAAAAGGATTCTCATCCAAGGAATCCCAGAGCGCACCATCGTCACGATCTTCCATGGCGGGAACGTCCTCCAACCTTCCCATGAACTTCTCAGAGCGACGTTGGAATGTGAGAATGCTGACTTCGAGGCGCTGACGGCACTCGAGAGTCTTGAGGTCCTCCGCCACGCTCGGATTTTGACCCGCCTTGTGGATATCATTCGCAAGCTTAAGCCTGAAGGCCGTCAGAGCTCTATTTTTGTAAAGACGAGGCAAACTCACTGTGCTTCTTGAATTTTGAGGCCAGTCGACAACCATCCGGCGATGCCCTTCTCCAAGCCCTTGGCGGACTCCTCGCCCGCCAGTCTGAGTTGGGTGAGGTCTTTACCCGGGGCTTGCATTCACGTCAACTACATGCCACATGACGATGGAAGGATACTCACCCTTCCTGAGCTGGACATCGAAGGTGTCCATAATCTTCGGATCATTTTGGCGAGCCTCCATAGCGTCGTTGTACTCCTTCTGCCATGCCTCAAGGACCTCCTCATCTGTGGATGCAGATAAAGCTTCAAAGGACTCCTTGCTTCTTGGGAAGCCCAGGAGCACGCGTTTCCACTTTGTCATCAAGGTTGGCACTATAGGCAGCATAAGCCAGGTGGCAAATAGGGAAGGAGGAACCAGGCTCACCCATGCGAGTCGTCTTCTTCCAGTTGGAGTCATTCATGTGATCGTCAAGGACTTCTTGGCGGTGAGCTCGGGTCATGCCCCTGGTACTGCCTGAGACCTCATTTGTCGGTGCCCACAGGGTCTCGATGACCTCGCCATCGACCATACCAGCGCCAACTATAAAGTTGGGTGAGAACCATTGGAAGCAGCAATCTTGGTGTCCGTGCACATGAAACAAGCCGATGCCTTGGTCTACCTTGAGCTCGAAGGGCATCCTCAGATAGGCGCTGTGGCGGAAACGTTTGCGGACATGGACGCCATACTGGCACATGATGTCGTACATGACGAGGACGAGGGTGATACCGGTGAGGGTCAGGAGCGCATTGCTGAGAGAGTAATCCATATTCATTTGTCTGCAGAGGGTGCGTCGGTGAGAATGAATCATGACAAGAGACATATGCGAACCTTTCTCCCTTCTGGAAATCGACGACAGTATGAGGGACAAAGAAACCATGTCTGGCGCAAGCAGTGGCCCCGATTCCTGTGGCGTCGAGGTTGGTGCGATCCACATTGGCCTGATTGACAGCGCGGTGCTCATGACAAGTGGAGCGCTGGTGGGCTTAGGAGTCAAGGGCAGAAGAAGAACGTGCAGCCAGACACGCACCTGATGCGACTCCATGGCCACCGCCAGATGAGCCTTGTAATCCTCTTGGCCGACCATGAATGCCTGGCCGTCACTGAGGGCGACGTCCTCCTCGGGGTGCTTCATCTTCATGTGCTCTGCACTGAAATTGCCATCCATGACAAAGTCGCATTTGAACTTCCACTGCACTGGATCCGCTTGCCAATCAAAAGGCAGGTTGAGCCCAGGCTGGGGACAGGCGGGACAAAAGATGGTGAGGCCACCCTTCTCCACAGGACGGAGGGTATCGTGTGAGAAGCCGTGCCACTTGCGATATTTGAATTGGTGCCATTGGCGGGACACCCACATCAGCTCACGATAACGGTCCTGGCGAGGAACTGGCATGAACGGTTGGGCCATGGGAATGCATGTGAACACTTACGGGAACGGTGCCAGGGAAGGCATTGCTCGTGACCCGTTTGAGCTTGCTGTAGTAGTTCAATGCCGCCGTCTTGCACTCTTTGTTCTCCAGAAGGAAATCGTCGAGGACGGCGAATGTGAAGGCGGTATGGGGATCCTTGACGGTACCAGGGTAAAGTCCCATTTGAAGAAGCTGCATGTCACGCTCCACTGCCATCTCACACTGGCACCAGTCAACGCCGATATGGTGAACGCCAGAGATGTCGACAATGACTATGATCCAATTCCCGTAACTATCACGGCGAGGTGGCCGGGAGAGCACCGGTGGCACATCTTCCTCCCAAGTGGGATCGGGAGCATCATCGGTTTGCCTTGCTTCACCGTCAAGGGTGCCTGCCAGAGGTGCAAAGTTGAATGGGACCTCGCCATCATCTGAGACCTCGCCATCATGTGCATTTAGGTCTTCATTGGAGGCATTCCAGAAATTGGACCCCGGGGCCACCACCGGCGCAGGGTTGTTATGTGCTGTGAAGGCGCCCAGAGGGCAGGGATCTCCGCCATGCCCCAAATGGATGCAGACGCCAACCTGATACAGTGATGCCGGCTCAAAATACTGACCCTGCCAATGCTCTATCCGATGGAAAGGAGCACGCTGATGGCCGTTACGACAGCAGTCGGTACAGGTGAGCGGTCTGCCCATACAGTCCAGGCATCGCCACCGTCCCTCGCCAACCTTGCATTCTGCACAGTTTCTGGGCTCAGGCGGGGCTTCCATCTCGACAATGGCATGAAGATAGTCATCACGGTGGGGTATCCAGTCCCTCATGAGGTCATTCTGGGTCTATCGCACATGGTCAGACCGTCAGATGGTCATGGCGGGAGTGCCCACCTTTGTCTTCCGAGCCGCCGGATCCAGCTGAATCGGCACACCTATGTTGCCCAGGACGTCGCCATCATCCAAGTTAAACAAGGAGCCTGAAGCTGGAGCCTTCGATGGACTTTTGGAAGGTGATGGCACGTTTGAACCCGTGGGCATGGGCAAAGGTACGTCCACATAGCGTACTCCCCTAGTGGTCTGCTTAGCTACCTTGGTCACAAACTCAACCTCGTCATCCAGGTCTACAACGAGCCTGCTTTTGTTGCGTCTGCTCATGGTTCAGGTCAGTGGGGAGTTGTATTCCAAGCCAATCGATGAGCATTGTGTCCCTATCGCACAACACGTGCAAATCACACACGGCCTTGCTGCCCATCAGACTACTCATCAAAGTGGTTAAGAATGGCTGCAATGCCTGGGCCTTATCACCTCGTGGTCTCTTTAGGCACCATATCAGCATTATGCAGATAAGGATGCCATGTTGGTGAGAGGTCCGCCAATCGTATGTCGCCCTCAGTGCTAACTTTGCCTTGACTCGGAGTAGCATATTGTTCAAAAGGGAAACGTGCACTTGCACCGCGCGCTCGCCAACACTGCCGCCATCTGCCCCACTAGCACTCACAACTTCTCGACCGAATACATTTCACCACCATCTCTGCCAACTTCGAGGTCCGCCAACCATACGCTGCCATCAGTGATAACTACACCTTGAGCTGAACACTGTCGAGATGTGAAATGCGCACTCGTACCGCGCGCTCGCCAACCTTCAGCTAGGATTCGGAAATTTGTGACTCCATACATTTCGCCATCACCTCCGCCAACTTTGTCCCACCAATGAAGCTGCCATCGACAGTCTCCATCCCCTGCATAGTGTTCTCGTCTCCATCAGTCTTTGGCATGATGTCCCTCTAATAAGCGAGCCAGTTAGGACCTGTTCTGAGTTAGGAATGCAAACTCGGTGATGAACTGTGCACATGCCAATGTGTGAGGCGTAATATGAAGCTTGCATCCAGTGGGGCGCCGGAATGCCTAGCCTGTTCTGGACACCCTCTCGCATGAAGTATGCATAGACGAGCCTTTCGCCATCTGCTCGAGTGACGCCATGACGAATCGCCTTTTCACAGAAGGCTATGACAGTTCCAGGACTATAATCGATGGCGACACGCATGGCGGGGAACTTCAACCATGCGCAAGTGTAGTTGCCCAACGTCGCCAACAGGTCGTAGAACGTGTATCTTGTCTTGCTATCTCAGTGGAAAGGAGTTTCCCGGTTGGCGATCACCTGGAGCGCATTGAATGGTGACGACCAGTTCAGTGCCATCTCTCGCAATTCTGGGTCTTGCTGGATCAAACCCAAGCACTGGCGTCCTGCGGCATATAGTGTTGGGTGAACGACGGCCAGGATGGCGCCCAGCAATGCGGAGGAGTCATGAATATCATGCAGCCAACTTCTTCCGCCCTCAAGCTTCAGGCTGGCGGAGGTCTCCAGCCTCCCAGACTCCATATGCTGCAAAGGCTGTCCAGACGCAAGGCAAATGGCGTGGCGAGGAGACCCACCTCTCTTACTTGTTGGAACCAACCTGGCGAGAGACACAAGGAGCCCGCTGGGAATTGGGCACACTCCTCAGGAGGCAAGAAGTACAACGGGTTGTGTCGCCAACTGGCGGTGGTGCTGGAAGGCTTACTGGCTGCTATTGCTGGGTGTAGGGCCCTGGTCGCTTGGACCATCTTCATCTGACAAATTTGTCAGATCACAGCGCAAGGCTGGGCAAGCCACTCACCTGGCGGTCTGGTATCAACACTCTTGGAAGTATCCAAGCCAAGATGCGTCCGTGCATGTCCACGAGGGTGGCGGGCTGGTCTATGCGTATTTCGCTCTCACCAAATGGAGGAGGCCACTTCCGTTCCAGTTCTGCCTCGAGGACTTCATTCTGCCCCGTGGGCTGAATCGAAAGGCTGTCGCAATATCTATCAATGTCCCACTGCAGCCTTACTATTACAATGGCGTGATCAGTGTGATCAGACCTGCGGCAAGACTAATGACTACCAGAATTACGGATGGCCTTCACAAGAGCATCTGCAATGCCATTGCACTCCAATAGGAGGGCAGATGGCATGGACGGAGGCACTTCTATAGATGGCGCAGAATGGGCTGCATGAGTGGCCAGATGGAGCTTTCGGCGGAACATGAGCTCCAAGACTCCTGCTATCTGATCGGTCAGTGGCATGGGTAACAGATTGCTCATCTTGATACTGTCTGCCAATCAATGGGACAATTACAGCATGCATCGGTTGAAGGAACGCACAGGTGTATGGCGGGCTCAGGCGGTTGGCTTGCAGATGCAGGGGAGAATGTAGGAGGGGCCAGAATGGCAAAGAACAGTATGCATTCATCTGCCTGCATATTGCTTGCAAGCACGTCCCTTGCACATCTCACATGTTCATCATGCCGCCGAGCCGGACTTGATGCCGTCATGCCGGATCACGGGCCGGGTGGTCCGCCATGTCTGGGCCCTTCGTCACCGCCATCTAATTGGCCGAGCCTAACTCCGAGGAAGCCCTTTATCCCACAGATTGGCATGCAGATGATCGCCAGATTGCCTCCGCCCAGCATTCGCGAGATGAAGTTGGCGTGGTGTGCTCTGCCATAGAAGCGGCATTCAACATTGCCTTTCACCAGGCATGTGCATACCTACTACCACCTCTCGCCACTGCGAAAAATACACATACAATGCTTCAGCAGTCACCACACACCATGGCGAGGAGGGTAATTGGTGTAAGCCCAAATGGGCCATCAGCACGTGCATGTTGAGTTGTGGGCGGCCGATGAGGAAATGGACAGAGCGCTGCCCGTTGAACTATCGACCCCCTTCACTGTCCCAACACAAAAATCTCATCCTCGACATCGAGAAAGCATGCCGGCGAGATTTGTAATTTTGACGGAGCATCAGCCCATACTCTCTGAGAAGCTGTGGTCTTATGACACGGCAGATGCCAAGGGATGTAAGACTCTGGTTCAGAGCTTGCGCCAGAAGCTGAAGACACAGTTTGTCGACACGTCAAATTATGACGACATCATTGTGGAAACTGTGAGCAGTGTTTCATGTCTGTGAGGTCCCCACTAACTCTCACCGCAGAAAATCCGAGAGTGGCTCAATAACCACGCCCGCCATGCACAGGAGAAAGTGACGAAAAAGCGTATGCATGTTTCTGGCAAGCCCAATGCCTTCAAGGTGTGGGATGCGCTGGAGAGGGACAAGGTGACTGAGGCCGCGCGAGCACTCGCGGCAGAAAAGGGTTGCAATGTCTCCAAGGTGTGGAGAGTCGCACGGAGTGCCGAATGGGCAAAACTGTCCGAGGAGGAGCAGAAGGTGTATGAGGAAAAGGCGGAAAGTTGGCGCAATGGCACTCTGGATGATAAGACGAAAATGAAGTGCGTACCTCCTGTCACATAGCATAAGGCAAATCCTGACCTAAGACAGGCTGAGGGAGCAGCGAATGATGCAATATCTGAAGAAGTTTGCCAAGACTATGTGGGACACCATGGGCATTCGCATGGCATTCATGCTAGCATATCCGAAGGAAGCGGGGAGTCTGAAGGTAGAGATGTGAGCGTAGACCGTCCGACTGTCGCCATCTGCTAACCCCCGAGTGAAGGGTGGAGGTCAACCACGCCATCACCAATGGAACTCCATTCAGGGCCTATCCTGGGTGGCTGCGTGCTTACCAGCCTCTAGCAAAGGTGTTCTCTGAGTGGGCCAAAGGCGAATACGGTAAGAAGACCTCAGTTGCATTGTCGCTGGCACACTGACCTGATTTCTTAGGTGTGACTGAGACTACGGTGACGGTGAAGAAGACACCTGCCGATTGCATGCGGGCCATGGACAAGATTCGGTTGACGGCCAACAGTTTTCCTCTGCTCCCCTCGGTGCCCGAAGGTATGGCGGAAGCGCCTCTCAAGGTGATGAAGGTACAAGTTCGAGACTTCATGAATCATCACTATGGTATGACACTCCCACTCGGTGTTGAGAGATGCTGACCAGTTTACAGCATTGGCGAAGGGTGTTCGGAACTGCAAGTCGCCATGGACGAAGCTGAACAGCATAGACGACATCAATGAGGTTATTCCAGCGGAGATGCTACCTGAGAACTTCCAGTGGATCGATCCCTCAAAGATGACAAGTGTTCCCGTTCGTGCCCTCCTCGACCACTGGCGGGCACGCCAAGAGGAACATGGACCTGAGCAGACCATGCGATTCACCCAGTACTTCGACAAGGATGGCGAAGCTGCTCCCACCAAGTATGATCCTCTTTCACCACTTGACGGATCAGCACAGGCATTAGAAGAAGGATCTGAACATGAGGTCCAAGAAGCACTCACACCTAAGAAGGCGGGGAAGGTGAAGAAGAAGGGTAAACCTGTGCGCAAGGTCACGGGAAAGGCGGCATCGAAGGTGACAAAGGGCAAAGCGGCCCCTGGCGGAGCCAAAGGCGGTGGGCGTAAACGCAAGACAAAAGATGCATACGACTCGGAAGATGATGCCAGAAGCAGCCAAGACTCTGATCGGAGTTCGCCAGATATACCCAGCATGGCTTCCGAAGAAGATACGGCCAGCGATGAAGATTCAGAGGATGGCGAGAGCGTGATTGCGAATAAAGCGAAGGGCAAGGCAGTCGCCACCACCAATGGATGTAAGGCTAACAATGGTGGTGCACCTCAAGCGAGTGGTAGCGGCGGTGCCAAGACAAAGGCAAAGCGAGGTCTCCAAGACCTTCCTCTGGGCGAACTGCACAGATTTGACACAGAGGAGACCGATGAAGCATTGAGTGAACTGGAGCCCAGTACAAAGGAGCTCAGGCTTGAGCTTCAAGGCCGAGCCCCGCGTCTCACTGGCGGGAGTACTGTGGGGAGTACTGTGCCCCACCTCGTCAAAAGGAGAGACGTGTTTCTCGCCACCCTTTCCGTCGAACCACGATACCAGGATATGCTGAAGCAAGTCAAGATTGCGACTGTGGTGAGCTCCTTTCGTGGGGATTCATAGCCACTATTGATCATCCGTCATATAGCCCCAGGTGTATCGTTTCGCCAGGTATGATCCGATTCCCTGGAGCGAATGGTCGTATGGCCAGCGCTACCTCCCGCTGTCATTTCATGCGGTGGACAACTTTGACATCGTCGAGAACTGGTTGGGCGACAAACCATGGCTGACAAAATATCGGTTCTTACATCCACAGGGCGTACAACAATCTGCACTCGTGATTGGTATGGCGCTGAGGGACCTCACACGATCTCAGTTCATTGAGGAGGGCGAACCGACCAACCTTCCCGACTATGTGGTGAACTCGGCGATCTCATTTGACACAGTAGAGCAGCTGCTTCGCTGTTGCGAGATCATTACCTTGGACATGGTGGAAGGGAACGTCACCCATGCCATGGTGAAGCCAGTGAGCAAGCCTGCCATACGCGGTGCCCCACAAGGTGGCGATGGCCTTGGGGGCCAGGAGGAGCAGGAAGGTGATGCCTCTGCAAGAACTCACGATGGCGCTGCTACTGCTGCCAAAGTTCACAAGGCTCACCAGCCTGCCCCCATGGCTGACAAACCAATCATTCCAAGTGGAGGAGACGAAGGGCCGAGCCAGGAGACCAGTGGTGGGGCCTCTGACGATGGCGAAGAGGACGATGCACACTTGTCCGTACCTAGCAGTGGTGCTGAACGACCGCCACCGCCTCCGTTTATACCTAAGACGAGGAAGGCCGCAGCCACAGAAGACCGTCCGTCAGGTCAAGCCAAAGCGCTCCAGGGAAGGTCGATCACCGATGCCCTTCAGAGTAATATCCCCGGCAGGATCACTCGCAGTCAGCGTCAAGCGATGGATGAGTCACCCGCCAAGAATACCCGCAGTCAGCATCCACTAGGAGCTGTGAAAGATTTGAAGAAGCTTCCTGATCCAAAGCGGAAACGTCAACCAGCACGTCCCGAGGCCGATGGCGAAGACAGCTCTGGCGAAGACAATCCGCCACCTCGGAAGCGTGGACGTGGTACTCGGGACGAGTTGGTAGTGGCCTCGCCGAGGAAGAAGAATGCGAGGGCCGAGGACTCGGATGATGGTGACAAGCCTCCCGCAAAGCGAAGACGAGCTCTGCCTCAGACCCCGGAGGTCAAGGACAAGGGAGAAACCAAGCTGAAGCCGGTCCGTCTGGGGAAAGCAGCCGCCAAAGTGAAAGAGAGTGGCCAAGTTGGCGCAGGTCACAAGACCCACAGTGGCGGCACCAGACCTTGACAATATAACTCCAGTTCAAAGTAGACTCGTAGGCTTCCACATTGTTTAATGTGACCCATAGATCTACATAGGTAAAGCCATGGAGATGGTGGCAATGGCGAGGGGAGTTGGCGAGAACTTCAGCAGGCATTCAGTTGACTTGGAGTGGCGGTGGCGAATCGAGTGCATGGAGATTCCATGCTAGGTTAAAAAGCATGTATATCAATACTCTAATGACTACACATTGTGGCTATCTGGGCGAAAGGCGGTGAAGACCATGGCGGAGTCGACCTTCTCTCGGAATGCGTCCAGAGACTTCGCCACCAGCGAGGTTTCCTCTCTCGCCGTCGCCACCTCCTTCCCCACCTTCTTCGCTTCATCCAAAGCGGACGTCGCCACCGCCATCGAATCCTCTTTGGCGAGCGCCAATTCCATCTCCAGCTTGCTTGCTTGAGCGATCGCCTCTGCCACCGAAGACCTGAGCTCCTTCTCCATGCTGTCTGACCGCGCTGCCTGGAGCTCCATCGAATGACGGAGGTCGGCCAATTCGCCCTGCAGCTTGTCGACGTCCGCTTGGCTCACCGTCTGGTTCGCACCTTGCTCCAACCTGTTGACCTTCTCCTTGAGCTCTGGCAGGCAATGTCGCTTGGCGACGAGGTCCGCCACCGCCAACTTCACGCTCTCCTGAAGCTCGATGGTGACTGGCCTGCGAAACTCCTCCATTGCCAACTTGACCTCTTCGCGAATGCTCCGGGCATTTTCTTGAAATGCGGATGGCGGGTTGATTCGCTGGAGTGCCGCTGTGATCTCTGCCTTGACGGTGTTGAGGTCCGCCATCCTCTCCTGGAATTGGACTTCCATCCCATCCTTGTGCGCCAGGAACTCCTGTCGCAACTCGGCACAATTCGCGCAGTCATCGTTGGATGACTGCGAGGTTTCTTCGCCACTGGGGGTGTCACCTTCGTTCACCGGAGCGGGACTTCCTGTAGACACTCGCTGGACGTCGCGCAAGTGGGGTGCTGTATCCCTGGTCAGCGCTGCATGGATTCGAAGCTGTGGCGGGCGCACTTACCCTTGCTGGTCGGAGGCACTGCTCTGAGGCGGTTCACCTTCGCATCCCTTTTCACCTCCGCCTCCTTCTTTGCTGCCTTGCGGTCCAGTGGGGCGCCCCTCTTAGCTGGCCTTCTCCCTTCATCGAGATGTCCTGCCTTCGCCAATGTGGAGGACTTCGCTCCCTTCGACACCTTGGATATCTCCAGGGAGGGCGTCACCTCCTGTGCCACCTCGGCAGCTCCTGCGCTCGTCTCGTGGGGCATCAGCAGCGAATGCTGCCGATCGTCGTGTGGCCGCTCCAAGGACGCACGCTGTTTCATGGTTACATCGACTCCAGCTGCGACAAGATGTCCTGCTTACCTCATCCTTCGCCACCTCTGCCTGATACTCTGGCGCATCCTCTGGTTCGTCGGCGACTGGTGTCAGCATGTGCTTGCTGCTGCTAGCTTGCGGCGGAGCAGCTGGCCCTGTTTGGAAGGCCATAGCCCGCACCGCCTCCATTGCCAGCCTGGCGGCTTTCTCCATGCCATCGCCTTCCGCCAGAGGCATCTTGGCTGCTGCCTTCGGAGCACTCGCCTTCGCCTTCTTGGTGATCATGGGCACCATTGGGCCCGAGCGACCTCCCATCGCCACCCTTGTCGTCTGCCCGCCCTCCTTCGCAACAGACTTGGCAGGCGGGACCTCATCCGCCTCACGTACTGAGGTCCTGGTGACCTCGCCACCATCTTGCGCACCTGAGTTTTGGCTCCTCACTGGCTTTGCCTTGGGTCCTGATTTCTTACCTTCGCCAGGTTTGGCGACCGCACCAGACTTGGCAGGCGCGCCAGACTTGGAGACCTCACCAGAGTTGGCGACCTCGCCAGAGTTGGACAGAGCCACAGCTCCAGTGGCGGTGGCGGACTTGGTGGCGCGCTTGGACTTCGACGATTTCTCCACCGAGGCCTCGCCTTCAGCGTTGGCTTCATAGGGCGTGACGGTCGCCTTCTGCTTCGTCGCCTCGACCTCCTCGCCACCCTTGACCATGGAGCTGGATGCTGCAGCATTGCACGTCTTGGTCTTCTTCGGCGGCTTGCGCTTCGACGCTCCCATGACCATGGGTTCTGCACCGTCGGGCTCATCGGAGTCGACCTTGACATCGTATGGAGGTGGCGATGTGGGCAGTGGCTTGCCCTCTACCACCAGCACTGCGCACATCTCTTAGAACTCACGCTGTGCGGTGTGTGAGTTTCCTCGCAGGGGCACGCCGTCCGTGTTCCTCGGCGCGATGCTGCAACTGACGCCTCGTGCTGCACATTCGAGGCAGCGACCGAAGTTGGCGGTGTTGAGCTTGCATGGCCACTCTTTCTCCTGGCAGCCAACGCAAGGGACGAGCTGCAGGAACATTAGCACAGGTCAATGTCTCACAAGATCGTTACTCACCGAATCTGTTGCATGTGCCCACATGAAGTCAGACACGCGGGTGGACTCCACATGTCCTTCTGCGACACCGTCACCTTCGCCTTCCCCTTCGCCGTCGCCTTCCCCTTCGCCGTCGCCTTTGCCTTCCCCTTCCCCTTCGCCTTCGGTGCGACATGAGGCATCGCTGTCATCCTCGTTGTCTGTTTGACAGGTTTGGCAGGGGTGTTCGTCTTCGCAACACCGTCGTTAGAGTCCCCTGCGGTCTTGGCGGGTAGATTGGAAGGCGGTGCCGGAGTCTCGTCTTCGCTTTCGATGAACTCCTTGCTCTTGTATTCCTTCGTCGCATGCTTCTTCTTTGGCGGCTTGACGGTCGGTACTTCCTCTTCATCGCTTGACTCCTTTGCCTTCCTCTTCCCGCTCTTCTTCGTGCTCACCTTCGAGCCCTCCACCTCGGTCTGCGCCATCCTCTTCTGCGCACGCTGCGCTCAGCCAGAGGTGGTCGGGGCCTCGCCTTTCTCCTTTGCGACCTCGATCGGCTTCATCCGCTTCGCCTTCGGAGCTGCCTCCTCGTTCTCACTCTCCTCACTCGACTCTGTGATGACCGCCTTGCGCTTTCGGAGTGATGGGGCAGCTGGCGAGATTGATATTGGTCTGGCAGTTGGCGGAGGGGGCGACGCCGCATCGACCTCGATGGATTCGGGCTGGCCTGCACCCCGCACGTCTTCCGCCATCTCATCGTTGTCATCTTTGTCGGCATCGTCGTCCTCGTCACTGTCGGCATCGTCGTCGTCCTCACCCTCCTGCTCCTCTCCCTCTCCCTCTCCCTCTCCCCCATCCTCTTCCTCGCTCATCGCATGTGCCGCCTTCCCCTGCACCTTCTCCTTGCTCTTGCCCTTTCCCTTGTCCTCCCCCGCCTCCACGTGGACGATACGCTCACCCACCATGCCTGTCCCGACGTCGTTGTCAGCTCTCTCCTTGCCTTTCCCCTTGGTGACGAGGTCCCCGGTAGCCAGGTCCTCCTCGCCACGTCCCTGGGTGTCGTCATCGGCTAGCACATTGCCCCAGCCCTCCGCTGGCGTACTCTTCACTGGTGGCAGCTTGCAATATGGATCTGGTGCAGTCAGTGTGTCGCTCGATGCCTCACAACGCTTGTGACTCACCTTCAGTCCACCACTGCCTTCCCAGGTCCTCACACTCCCCATACTCGCGCACAGCCAGAGGGTACCTCTTGTATATCCTCTCGTCGTCGTTCAATATGTGGTCCAGCCGTGCCAGGGCCTTCTGCTGGTATGCCTGGGTGAATTCCAGCAACGCGCTGATGACGATCCCAGGCATCCTCAACGACTTCAAGGGCTGCGGGAAACTCTTTTCAAGCCGACTCTGTGTGGCATATTCAGTAAGTGCATGCCAGACCTTCGACCGATGACTTACCACTTCGAGGTAAATCCTCGTCTCCCAGTCCGGATAGCGAGGGTCGTCCTGGCGAGGCGCCGCTGCAACAATGGCCGCCAGTCGCGCGGCCTGCAGAACATAGTTGGGGTCGATATCCAGAGTCATGGCGAGCTTGGCAAAAGAAAGCGTGAGGGTGTTTCAAAAGCAGAGGTTGCAGTACAGCGGAGGCGGAGCAGACGACGCTATGAGCTGGCAGACGCGATCTGCACCAAGTTCAACTTCACACGCCACGCGACCACGTGCTTTGCACGTGATCGCTGGACTTGCGCGATTTCTCAAGTCTCTCAAGGTCAGTGTGACCTGCTGCAAGTTCTCATGGCTCCCAACAGTAAGTTCTATTGCTCTCCTTGTGGAATCTGACTCCTTTGTGATGTTATCTGACCTTTCTATGTCATATCAATCCCCTTTCTACAACTGATCTCCCGCGATCCAGGACTGATCAAAGACTTGTCTGCTCGCCACAATCTACCTGCCATGGCCAGTGACGCGGAACCTCCTGACACGCTGGACATTACAATGGGCGAGTCGGATGAGGAGGATAGTATCGCTGAGCCCTGTCGTCCACTCATTTCGGATCTCCTTGACTCTCCTGGATCTGCCCAGATCTCCTTGCCTCTCCACTCTGCTTCTCAGACACCCCTCGCGCCCCGCCACACTACTCCGTCCCTGGCGGCTCCATTTGCGCCATCCAACTCGCCACATGAGCATCTCCACTGCCACGCCTCGCCAAAGGTACAGGCGTCATCTGGATCTGTGGCGCCTGTGGAGGGAAGTCGCGCACTTATTCCTGACCCTCTGGCGCCAGCTTGGGATGAAAGTCGTGGCAGTTCACCAATCCATAGGCGTGCACTCATCTCAGATTCCACCCCCACTGCGCCCGGTGGAATGTTCGACTTCGACACTCCTGGCATCTCGCCAATCCCTCAACGCGCCCTGTTGGAAGCTACTCCCCTTCCTCCACCAGCTCACACTTTCGACTTTCGCACTCCTGACACCTCCCAACTCCCTCGACGATCGCTCATCGCTGAGCCCCTTGACGCTACGTCACGTACATCCATCCACTTCGATAGTCAAGCAAGTACGCCGATGGCGAGGGGCATGCTGGTGGACGAGACACTTGACGCGGAACCAGTGCCGAAACTGCTGGACTTTGACAATAGTCCTCCCGCCACGCCAGGACGACGGCGAGCTCTGGTGATAGACAGCCCTGGCGCGACGCCTGTGCGTAGCCAGGTCCGGTGGCTAAATAGTCCCAGCACTTCGCCTCCAAAGAGGCGGCCTTTGTTGGACGATGTTTTAAGTCCACCGCCTCTGCCATCGGTGCCCTCTCACTCGCCAGCTCGCACTTTCGATGACAGCAATTTCCGCCACGATGCACCTGTCATTCACTATATGAAAGGCAGCATCGAGCCAGTCACTGTTACTTCCAGGATGCCAAGTCTGGCAGCACTTCCAGATGAGCTGCCAATCCATCGTCCCACCCATTGGGAACAGGTTCCAGGCTTATTCCCAGATACCACACAGCTGCTGCCAATGGCAGTCCCTGGAGAGACGAATGCCGCTTCTGGCTCACAAGTGGCCCGCCTCAGTAGATCGTTTGCGCAGATCGCAGCAGAGGCAGACAGTTCCAGTGAGTACATCCCTGGCAACCTTCAGTCTGATGTTGACCTTATTCATAGTGGACGATGACGAAGGTGATAGCTTTGCGGTTAGTCGTCGTCGCGCCATGTTGCGGGAGCGCATTGTACGTCTTCAGCGTGAGCTCAACCTCACTGAGGATATGCACGTTGCGAACCTCAATGCCAGCTCGACCGTGTTCCAAATGGGGTACATTCTGAGGGACATTCGTGGTGAGGCGTATCGCAGCAACTGAACTAGTGTCTTTGAGCGTTTTGGTGTTAGCAATATATGACCGCTATGTAACAGCTTGTATACCAGTACAAAATGGATACATTCACTTCTGCATCACTAAGCTCTAAAGCCCATCGCTCCTCCAGTGTACTCTTCAGATGGGCGGACTGCACTCGCCATCACCAAGGCATGTTGTTGCCAGCAATTGGCCCATCGCCAAAGGACCTGAGTGAAAGCTTCACTGCATGGGAATATCGCTCCACCAGCAAAGGGCCCACTGCCAAGGGTCAGAGGGTTGGCCATCACCAAGCCGTGTTTTCGCCACCAATTGGCCCTCCGCCATGAGTGCTGGTGAGTGATGGGCCCACCGGCAAAGGTCAGAGGATTAGCGATTACCAGAGCACGTCATCACCACCAATGCGCCCGGAAACTGCAGGGCTGTATGTGACAATGGGCCCATTGGTGGCGATGACATATCCTGGTGATCGTCAACCCACTGGCCTTTGGCGGTGGGCCGATTGCTGGCGATAACATGCTCTGGCGTTGGCCAACCCACTGGCTTTTGGCGGTGGGCCGATTGCTGGTGGAAACATGTCCTGGCGATGACCTATCCCATGAGTGCTTGCAGTAAGGCCCTCACTGAGGGTGCTTTGGCGATGGGCCGACTGCTGGCGATAACATGCTCTGGCAATCGTCAACCCTCTAACCTTTGGCGGTGGGCCCATCCTTCAGGTTACACTCTGGGCGATCGGCCCACTGCTCATTCGTCATACTTTGGCGGTGGGCCGATTGCTCAGACAAACATGCTCTGGCCATGGCCAACACTCTGACCTTTGGCGGTGGGCCCATCCGTCATCTCATTCATCATACTCTGGCGGTGGGCCGATTGCTCAGACAAACATGCTCTGGCCATGGCCAACACTCTGACCTTTGGCGGTGGGCCCATCCGTCATCTTACACTCGTGGCGATGGGCCCACTGCTCATTGATCATACTTTGGCAGTGGGCCCATCGATGGCGATAACATGCTCTGGCGTCGGCCCACCCTCTGACCTGTGGCGATGGGCCCATTGCTTAACGGTTACAACACTGTAATATGCCCTGCTAGTGGGCCGAGCACTGGGATAAGAACACTAGCGGTGGGCCCACTGCTAGTATCCCACACATGAAAGGTATGGGCCCACTGCTGGTAGAGGTCAACGTGGTGACGATGGGCCGACGTCCGCTGGCTGTCCAGTTCATGACAATGTCAGGGTAAATGGGAGTTCAGTTCAGGTAACATGACTGAAAGGTGTGAGTAAGTATTTACTAAACACCCAGTTGTACAACCGCTCAGGTCACTGGGATCATTACCAGGATGTTCCCAAGAAGGTCAAAGGCTGGCCCACTGAAGTGCACAGACCCAACAGTTGGTGTCTTTGTAAATAAAGGATATGCAGCACACTATAAGGACAAGAAAGGCATAGAAAAGTGACCAAGACAAAGCAACAGCAAAGGGGCTAGAGCGCAGGGCTCATAACTTAATAAAGTCACAATATGCAGACTTTGTAGGGGACTCAAATAACAGGACAGAAGAGCTGGGCAACACAGCTAGAGTCCAGAAGTGAGTCACTTAATAATATTGAGGACAAAGTACTCTACTCACCTAGAGTCCAGAAGTGAGTCACTGGGGACTCAGAGTGGACTCTAGGGGGTTTATATCTACCTAGAGTGTGGCTATACAAACCTGTGAGTAACACAGGATTGTGGCTATGAACATAGGCAGGCATAGCTATGCATAGCTTCTACATAGCAGTGCATAGCGCAGCCTGATCAATAGGTATCTAGGTGTACAGCATCTTGCATTGCTTTGAGTCTAGACACTTAAGAGACTGATGGATTATCTAATCTAACAAACTATTCTTGGACGTGATTGTCAGTACCGGTAGCCAGCTTACCATGATGGTGCCTAGTTTCGTTGAGGTATACTCAGGAATTATGATTCATTATGGGCACAGCTCATTGCATTATGCAGGACTGGAGCAAATCTCCTGAAAACATTCCGAAGCTATGAGCACTAAAGATCTTGGTATATCTGTTTGTCACTTTTGTGCGCATTCATTCACTAGAGTTCACTAAATGTACGGTGGTGGACCACTGAGCCAGGCCGTAGGAGACAGGCTATTCGCAGCAGGTGTTCCCTTGCTCTCTGTATATGGCACGTGAGTCTGGTGTGTACATTACTTCGCTACATCATCCAATGGCCCACTCTCAGAACTGAGTTCACCGTGATGAACACGTTCCTCCCCGACATGTCCAAGCATCCTACCTGGGAGTACTCGAAGGTCTTGGTACATGCTGAGGTAGAAATGATTCCCCAAGAAGATTCGGATGACCTTTTTGAGCCTGTGGTTCTCATAAGTTGATGATTCACTCGTACAACAAATGTCTAAGAGCAGTGTTGACTCATTTCAGGCGGGGCACTCCTTGACACCTTTTGTTATCAATACGACTATCAATGAGAGGCCTGGATATGCAACCGAGCGACCTGTTCCAGAAGCATGCCACATTGCTGGGGTATTACAGGGTGTATGGCCGTGTGGACAACCAGATCATGTTGTCAATGGGAGAGAAGGTGTGCCTATTCAATTCACTTCATCTGTTAGACACTGATATGCCCTTCCATGATAAACTAATCCCACTCCTTTGGGTGAGTGGAATAGCGAGGCCTGAAGCTGCTTTTCAGTAGTTGACATTTGGGATGCAGAGGCGATATTTGTCACCGATCCTCACATTCAAGCCGCACTCATATTTGGGCGAGGCCGCTTCCAGAATGGCGTGCTTATCCAACCCACTGAGCCATTTGATCCCAATGATGAGGAGAAGTTGGCTGCATTCCACTTGAACAAGATCTGGTAGGTGTCTGTTCTAGTTACTACAGACACGTGTTTGACTGTCATCCCAGGCCGACTGTGGAGAAAGTCAATGCCTTTGCGCCATCCCACTCAAGGGTCTTCAAGGAGGTAGAAATTCTTCCATTACTATTTTGAAGGGAATCAGGTTGACAAGATCTCCAGATGATCATCGTGACCAATACCACGAAGCCCTTCCAGTTGACCGCGAAGGGAACTATCTGTCGCCAGATTTGCATCAACACACATGCTGACGAAGTAGAGGCTGTCTACAAACAGCCCATTCAGTCATGTTTGTGAACTGGACTCCCATTAACCCTGACATTGTCATGAACTGGACAGCCAGCGGACGTTGGCCCATCGG